TCTTCTTCTTCTTCTTCTTCTTCTTCTTCTTCTTCTTCTTCTTCTTCAAGTGAAATCATATCGCTGAGCTGAATCCAGCCCCACTTTTCTTCTCCACTCCCTGGATGGGGTTCCTTAGCGCTGGTAATAATGTTCGCTGCAGCATTTCTCATTTTTCTCAATTGTTTTCATCACGGGATTCCGATTTGGTCGTATTGCATCCACCTGTTGAGCACAGTATGGGGCAATCTGTAACCAATGACTTAATAGGAACAATAGGGACTAGAAACTTGGGTTTCTGGGAGGGAGGGATTTTTTCCCCTCTTTTAGCTGTGCTACAGGGAAATTTGGAAAAGTCAAGAGAACAACCTTTATTCCTGGATGGTTAGGATGGGCGTTGGTGCAGCGTTGAACCTTAGCTCAATGGCCGGGCATCCCTTTGCATTCAAAAGATTTCAGTCAAGTAGGAGATACTAGGAATTTGCTCTGCTTGGTGATTCTGAACGCTTTGCTAAAAGAAGCGATATTGGGTTAGACCGTGTGGCCCCTGGAAACTTCGGGGTGGCCTCCAGGCCCCTGCCAACCCGGCTATCAAATTGTCAGAGAAAAGGGAGATGATGAAATAGACAGCGAGGTGTAATCTTACGAAATGGGCTGAATTTCTTTTGTATGATGTGAGATTTATTTTTTGAAATGCCCGTTTCGTTGGTGCCTACTCTCTGCCGTGTGCTTCCTTTCTCGACGGTGTCCCTGGCCTGAAAAAAGATCGCATTTCCTTGATTCGTTTTATTTCCTTCTAAATTCATTTTTCCCAGTTCGATCCCGCTGCCTAGCAGTCGAGCCCAGCTGCTTGAGCTGAGAGGATGTTCTCCCTCCATAAAGAGGTTCTGTGTGAGTCTACCTACAGAAGAGAGTTGGAAAGAACCGTTAAATCTTATTTCAGACTTGAGGGAGCAGCTCCTTTGCTGGCGCTAGCGTAGATCCGTCTTTCAGATGAAGCAGCCAGTGCGTTGCCGAACGGTAGGGCCGGCCCTGGAGATGGTCAGCTGCTTCAAACCAAGGGTGGATCTCATTCCAGCAACAATTAATGCCACCCACATCCAGCAGGCACCAGGATCAGAAGGCCTGCTCTGGACCCCCGTGATAAACTTGATTACTTGCTACATCTGCAATCACTCACTTCATGCATTTACCTTGCTTTTATTTCCCGCTGCGTTTATGTTTTCTCCTGTCCTGTTCCCGTTCTCAGTTCCTTCTGACTGAGAATCTGGGAGCCGTTCCAAAGTATTTCAAGGGCCTACAGATTAAATCAAGGTGCACTGGGACTTTGGGCCAAATATCCGTCGATCAAGGCATTTCAGCGTTCAGATGCTGTGCCAAAATGTTCCCAGGGCACCCCAAATATAGATCGGCTTAGTGGAATGCAGAAATACAACCTCGTCCGCAGACACAATATTCGGGTTTCTTGATACATGTCGAGTTCCAACTTCATTCTTCTTCAGCATTTTTTAGAGTGTGATTTTGATGTCTTGTAGTCCACCCTGGGGGAAAGTGGTTGGAAGGGCGGTGTACTCATTCTCCAAATAATTTAACTAATTAACTAGCTAGCTAATTAACTAGTAGGGCTCTCTGGCCAGAAAGGCAGGAGATGATTGATTGATTGATTGATAGATAGATAGATAGATAGATAGATAGATAGATAGATAGATAGATAGATAGATAGTAGCATTTCTCCCACGTGATTGCACCAGCTTGCCTAGTTCACACAGCAGCCATCCGTGCTGATGTTTCTCAGCTGGCTTGTCACAGAGAGTGACCCTGTTTGGGGGCTAAGAGAGAGCAACTGTCCCAGGGTCACCCAGCCAACTTTCACGTGTTTCCCCCTCCTAGTCCAGCAGCTTAACCATTACACCACCCTAGCTCTCACGTTAGTGATCATGAGAAGTCAGAAAGACCATCTGAATGGAAAACGTGGCTGCCATTGTGACAAGATCCTCTTTGCTTTTTAAAAACTCCAGAATTGTCATCTGGCGAAGTCAGAATCAGAAGTCAGAGTAGACATCCCTTGAGCGAAACTCAACTCTTGATGGCCTACGTGCACACATACTCTTAGCAACGATACAAAAGGGGTTGGTCACTCCTGGCGGCTTTTACTTCTTCAACTGTTCAGTCTAGCCTGCGGCCCTAGATCTTTCTGGTGGTCCCTCATCCAAAGACTCACCAGATCCCACGCAACTGAGCTTGTGGAGATCCGCCATGGTGGATCAGGGGTGACCAAGGGCAGCTTATCAACAACAGGATGTTGTCACGCTTGCTCCCCCATTTGAAAGCCTGTGAACCTCTCTACTGAAAACTAGTTTTATTCTTTAGCACAGGAGATGGTGGGGAGAAGAAAAACGGCTTGGGGACCCATCAGATTTTAAGATCCCCTATACTTTGCCCCACTAAGAAAGCATAATTCTGGAGAATAAGCTGATTGTCATCTGGCGAGGGGCCGTTTTCCAAAACCCTGCTCACGTTAAAAAGGTTCATTTATGGCATCGTTAATTTTAGGAAGGGGAAAAGCTTGGCACATCCCTTTATCTCGCATTCCTCAACACCTTCAGCTCTCCAGAAAGCGATTTCATTTTATAGCCAATGCACATTACATGCTTTTCCGCAGCCAGCCCTACGTTGGCCTGTTGCCGCTCACGCTGAAATGCCAAGGGAGGTTTCTGCTACATTTTTTGAAACTGTCCCGGGGCAATAAAAAAGTCACACACGAACCCAAGTACACACACAGGCGTGCGAAAAACGACTTGGTTTTCTGCAAGCTGCATGAGAATTCTTTTGGAAAAGAATTAAATGCACGCGTTAGCCGATGATAAAAATGCAGCAGGTTGAATGCCTGTCACGCCACACAAACCTCTCCCACACACACACACGCAGACAGTTAAAAACGTAACCCTCCAGTGCTTGGGGTTCAAGGATGTCAGTCCTGATATAAACCAAACAAGATCTGGGGCAAGTCGAGACTAAACTTCGTATCCACTTCCTGTCTCTGCGCAGGAATCCAAGTGAAAACCAGTGGTTTGGCCAAGACACCATCTTGCTCATCCTTGCGTCAGCAGATGTGAAGCTCCAGGTATTCTTCTGTTTAACAAGACAAGGAAAGCTGCAAAGGGTTTACTATTATATTAATAACTGGATTCCAGCTTGGATATTGATTCCAGAAGTGCAACAGGTTCCTGTCCAAACTGACCCCAAGCTCAATTCTCTTTGGAAGGAAAATGATAAAAATAAAGTCTCCTTTGTGGCAGGCTTACTCCCGGTGACGTTAAGGACACCTCTGTCTCCTCTTGGTGACACCGAAGTGGTTTGCCTTTGCAAAGGAAAACAGAAGAGCGGGCAAACAGAATTAAGGGCCGTTCTTTTGCCAAATGACCCCGCTCTGTTTTCGAAATGTCTGTGTTTATTTAATCAGGGTTCCCAGCGCACAGAACTCTTTTTATTTACTCTGGTGTTGCAGGTCACCCGTTCCGTCAGCTGTTTCTTTAACCATCCATCCAGATGTGCAGCGGTCACGCACCATCGGCAGCTGCTGAATCGATGCCATTGAGAAGCGAAACCCAGTAGAAAGTCGAAATGGATGCTCGGCATCCCGGGCCTGCCCACGGTGAGGCCGGACGGCTCTGCGCTTCAAGTCGCATTTATTTTCCTCGCTTCCAAGGCACCGCTGGGCTTGCCATCGTTCTGGGAAATGGTGGGAATCGCTGGGTGGCCGGGGAGGACGCCCCACAAACTCTGCGGCTGTTGGAAGAGGAAGGGCAGCCTCAGATGTTGCGCAAGTCTGCAGGCGGGACTGGAGGCACAGGGCAGCGTGATGCTGGAGCGCTGCTCAATTGCAACGTGTTTGTTTTGTAACTCTAATCCAGAGGCAGGTGTGTGAGAGAGAGAAGATAGATAGATAGATGATCTAACTGGATGGATGGATGGATAGATAGATGATACATAGATAATGATAGATAAATAGATGATGGATGGATGGATGGATGGATGGATGGATGGATGGATGGATGGATGATAGATAGATTTTATTAGAATTGTACAATGCAATGAAAGTATAAAAAATGAAAAGAAAAAGAAAAAAAGATAGGAAATCAGAAAAAAGAAGTGAAAAAAAGAAAACAGGAATTTTACTTCCACCTTTCTTTTTATCAAGTCATTGCCATCTTATGCTTTCGCCTCCCTCTTTAACCCTTTTTAATCCCCAAACCATCAATCGTCCGTTCAGTCTTTTCTTCTTTCAGCAAAAAGTCCATAGGAGACTTCCAGAGACAGGTTATACGATGACTTCTTGGCGCGGCAGACCCACAGATATCTCCCCTGATGCCACGTGCAATTTCATCTTCTTCCGGACGATTAATTGAACTGGGGGGAAAAACAATCAAAATGGGATCTTGGTGTTCTGGAAAGCCCCAGACACCCACTGATCATGCATCTTTGTTTGCAAGAAGATCTCCAATTTCCAAAAGGCATTCTTAGAAAATAAAAAATGGATGCAACCTGGATTGTTTGGAAGGGCTTCTGCTTGCCAGAAACAGGCAGGAAATGCATAGCCATTCCAAGTTGGGTTACTAACGGTAATACACACATGTATTCAGAAATAAGTTTTCTTTCATTCCATGTCTTGCTTCTGGATAAGCAACAGAAGATTGCAGCCATAGCGGAACCCCCCAAGAATCCTTTTTTAAGAGAAATAAATGTCCACATTGCAGTTAAGCTGATGACTTTTTCCTAATAGAAGCTCTTATTAAGCCACCCAATAATTTAGCAATCGTTCAGGGCCCTGTCCATGTAGGCAAGTGCCACCATTCCTAAACTGTAAGAAAGCAAAGATGGTTTGAATATTCCTCAACTTA